GGAACTAAACCACCGCCAGCTGCAGACTAACACCTACTTAGAACACCTTCAGGAGAAACCTGGATGTTTTTCTTGCTGGGATCCTATGACCCCAGCTGACTTCCTGCCCCTGGGGCAGGGGGCTGGACTCGAGGATCTGCCGAGGTCCCTTCCAGCCCTAATGTCTATGAAATCCATACAACAAGTAGGGATGGCAACAGCCTGGTAGATGAGAAATTTGGTTTGGGTCCTGATGTCATGATCATTGAAGACATGATTTGGAGATGTCCAAAGGCACCCCTGGTAGATTTTATCCAGTGTTGAATATTGATGTCCATGTTTACTTTTTGGGAAAGGTGACTACGCAGGGAGGGGAAATGTTCAACGTTTTCCAATTGTAATTGTAATGTGTAAAGAAGCAGCTGTTTGAGGTGGGTTAGTAAAAACGTTTAGTTTCTATGAAGGTGACAGTGAGTCCAAGCATTTCATATGCTTCATAGAACCAATCAAGAGTGACGTAGAGCTCTTCAAAGGGGCGAGCGCACACAACAGAATCGGTGTACTGAAGCTCAGTAATGGAGGTGTTGATTACCTTGAACTTGGAATGTAATCATTGATGTTAAAGAGATTCCTGTCCATGAGATATCGGATGCTGATTCTGTACCAAGCTTCCTTAACTCCTGCTGCTTAGAGAACTGGACAGCATTAGAGGGTTGCAAGGTGGTGTAGGCAGCTAAGCATGGGCCAGCTGCAGAGAAGTAAGCAGCACAGGGGAAAAGAAAGAGAAGCGCTTCAGAGCTACAGACAGGTATCAGAAGCAAGGTGCCCTGCATTAAGCTAGAGTTGCAGTCTTGCAAAGAGATAGGTAGCTAAGAAGCAAATGAAAGACAGCCAGGCAGACTGGTGTGGAACAGGGCAAGTGGAAATAACAGGCTAAGCAGAAAGCCGACTCAGTCAGAGGTCAGGGGACCAGAAAGAGGTGGAGCTCCCATATACTTAAATCCTAGCTTCAGAGCTAGAGGGTTAGTCAGGCCTTAAGCTGTGGAGAGAGAAGAATCTTTGTGAGCCTACACTGTCTAAGGCAGGGGACCCAGTCAGCTCTTAAGTATCCAAAGAAGCTGGAGTGAGCCAGCAGACAAAGAGGGCTGGAGGTTGCGGGGATCTGGAGGCTAGAGGTTTGGCTCCAGCTACTTACGATGGATTTTTTTTTTCTTTTTGGGCAGAAAACTTAAGAAATGACAAACTTAACATTTTTATTTTAACTGTTTGTGTGTGAAGTTGGGCACTCCTTTACTCATAGTTTCCTAGGAAGCTAATGAAGCATGGGACCCTCTTTCGCTAAGGTAGTGTGATTCTCAGTAATGCGTCCAGAGCTGGGTATCATGAGACACTAAGTTATAATTGATTTAGGAACCAGATCAGAAATGGAAGGTTTTATAACTTGCACTTCTACCTGATAGAAATATGGGGAAACTTATTAAATACCTGCACAGTGACTCAAACCTATCAAGTGCCAAGTAGTCTAAAAATGGTATTGTTACCTTAAAATGTACATCCAAAGAATGGCTTTTTCACATTTTAGCCAGAATCTCTTTGTACACCAGTTCCCCATTTGTGAAATCAGCATAACTTCCTACCTTACAGAGAAGTTGCAAGGACAAATTAATGTTTGTGGAGCACCTCGGTACTGTGGTGACAAGTGCTGTAGAAAAGCCCACTAGGAGATCAATACTTCTGTATGCAGTTCAGGGTCTTGGTAGCATTCAGTAAAGTCGACATATGGTATAATGAAAATGAGGGTAAAATACTGAACAACTACATTTTTCTGTAAGCAATATAGCAGAAGGCCTGTGGGAGGGGAAAAATGTGATCAGATGGAGACAGACAGCATGGACACAAGAGTAAAGAAGGGTCAGATAAGAAAAGTCAGAAGTAAGGTTGTCAAACTTTTGAATGTTTGTGTTGCGACCCTAATAACACTCTTTTAAGTATTTTTCTCTGTAATAATTAATAGCAGTATGTACATTTTCAAGTTTACTTTTTTCTTTTGACTCTAGTTAAAAGAAAAAAATCATTTATTTCACATAAATATCTTCGTAAGTATACATACTTAAGTTTGATAGAATTGGGGAAAAACTCAGTTGGCATCCTAGCATTTCAAATTACTTCTCTTCCAAATACACAGTCACTGTGTTATAAAAGAGTAAAATCATTTGAATTAGAATTTCTTATAACTGAGTGTCCACAAGATAGAAAAACTTATTTTTTTTCTCTCTACCTATTCTGCACAGATCAGGCTCTGCATGCAACCAGAAAAAACTTGCAACAGTTCTTGTGGAAATGCTTCCCTGTGGGAACAAAGGAAAAAGGGAAGGTTGCAGTGGGAGGTATTGGGTGACTTAGTGATTTGCCAGTATAAATTCTACTGCTAAAATACTTACTGCATATATACCCTAACAATAATTTGCTTAGGAAACAGAAGAAATTACTATACCAACTAAAAGATTTTTTTTAACTAGCTTATTTAATATTTGAGGTACTTATAAAGTTCTGTGGCAAAATTTTAATAAATTGTGTTGGAGCAGCAACTTTTTTATCTGGGTAATAAAAATCTAATAGTGCTTTTCACCAAAATTAGGCCAAAGAACTTTATTATGAATATAATGCATCTCGTTTCATCTTCTGGGGGATGGGGAGAATGGCAGTTCCTGGTGACAGGACACTAATCACATCCTAAAGCAGAAAGCGTATTTAAGAACGCTTAAGGCACCTGCTCAGCACCTAGCAGGATCAGGCCACTACTGAGGCACATGATACAGCAATAAGGGTTGAGAAATGTGGATAGTACTGGATCTTTGTTCCTGCTACTAGGAAAGTTGCCAGGGGAAAATTTTATTTCTAAGGGATTAATTCAGTGGTGCTTAACCTTTTGGCCCCATGGGCTGGATGAGTGGCATGGGGCAGCTGGATCCAGCCCCATCATCTTGGTCCTGTGCACTCAAGCTAGAGCACTGGGTCAAGCTGTTTGGCCCACAGGTCTCCCAACAGCACCAGAAATCTAGCAGCAAGGGAGTGACAATTATGCCTATCCCATTTTCCCACTGCCAATTTTTTGGATCCTCGGGGAGCCCTGCAGGCTAGATGACATGGCTTGGGGGTTGGGCATCTTTGGATTAGCTGAAAGACCCCTTCCTCCCCCCACCCCAAAATTATCCTGCTAAGAAGCATGACTGTCAAATCAGAATAGTCGTTTCAGACTGTATTTCATTTCCATGTGATAAAATAGACTGTTGTCACAGAAGTGAATAGGGAGGGTGAAATAAAGTTCCCATTAACCAATTAGAGACCCTCCCCCCTGCTATCTTCCATGACGAGTGTTTCTCATCTGACACAACAATCATCTGTCTGACAGAGGCAGCTAGCCTTGTTAGTCTCCAGGCAGGTGGAAGGCAGTGTACAGATGCATCTTAGACTCGCTAAACTGGAGATGCAGAAGCTTTTTTGAGCCTCAGCTCACTTCATTAGATGCTGCATCAAATCTGCCCATGAGGAGGTGAGCTTGGGCCCCAGGAAGCCTCTCCGATTTTAGTTAATCATGTACTTGCCAGGTGCAACAGCTACGTATGAAGGGAAGCACTTTAGCTGAAGGGACGATGAATGTGTTGGTGGCAAGGAAACTCTGGGTTGCAGTCTTGCCTCTTCTTTTTCTGCATATAACACGTGGGTATTTTTCATAACCTTATTACTGAATCCTCCTCATAGACAGGCCTGCAGCAATGTGGTGGTCGTCAGCAGCTTTTCAGATGATGGCAGACAACGCCACGCATTTAAGACGTGTTCAGACTAAAGCCTATGGTCCCTTGTCACTGCAGCTAGTAGCGAGAGGGGTTTCTATTGGAGCTCATTCAGCTCAGCACCCCAGAGAAGACGTGGCTGTTCCTCCTGCGAGCCCTGCTCTTAGATTCAAAGAGTTGCCCATGAACAACTTGTGACCCTGGAGGCTGGGGGGGCACAGGGACCGCCTGCAGGCAGCGGGGACATGGTGGTGGCAAGCATGGAGCTCCTGCAGATGGCTGCAGCTGTGTCAGGGGGGTGGCGAGCGCTGACCACCCACAGGTGCCACCGTGCCGGCAGCACTTCTTTCACTGCCAACCCCAGAGAGTACTTAGGCACCTGTGTGCACCCCCTACCTGTCGCTAGTGTGGTTGCCAGCCCTATCCCGGGAGGTTTCATTACATGATGTACTGACAGTTATAGCTTGACATCAGGAAGGCAAACACTACATTTTAAAAGCCCACTGCACAACTGCCTCAAACAGATTCAATAGCTTCTGGGCCGCTTGGAGGCTCAGATCAAGTTTATTTTAGTGAATGCGTTGTCATTTATGCCCCAGTGACTCTCCTGGAGATCGATTCCCTAATGGCTGGAGACCCCCGGGGCAGGCAACCAGACTCGCCATCCCTGGGGGAGTCGACTCTGTTCCCAGATCCGCGACCGCCAAAAGCTTCCTAAGAGCTGCCATTTCCTGGGTCACACCATGGCCCCACCTGGCCCAGTCTCCTCAGCGTTTGAGCACCCCCAAGCCCTGCACCAGGGCGGCCCAGTTAAAGTCTCAAGACTTGAGATACAATGGCCAGGTCCTTCCCCCCGCTCCCTGCTGTGAAAGAGGCGGCGGGGCGACCCCGGGAAGCGCGCCCCCTCTGCTAGGCTTCTGAGGCGCCTCCCCCTGCTGCCGGCGGCTCAGGACAGGCCCCGCCCCTACCCCAGGAGGAAGCGGCGACGTCGCGGCCCGGCCGCAGTGACGTCACGGCGCGACCCCGCCCTCCCCGGAAGTGAGCGGGCGGCCGTACGGAAGCCCGCAG